AAAAGGAGACGTTGTTTGGGTCAAAAACCCACGCGGCAAGTGTACGACAAAATACGGCACTGGACGTGTTACAGAGGTGATCAGCCCGCAATCTGTGAGAGGTGATGGGGTGCCTCGTCACATTAAAGACTTGTGACCGGTGATGCAATCGCTACCGTTACTGAGCGATGAAAGCGATTCGAGTCTGAGAGTAGTGGCGTTCGATCTACCTTGAGTTAGACCTGCAGGGCAGTGATTCTGATAACAGCAGCCTCCCGGCGGACACAGTGTTTACTGACACTCAAACCACAGACGAGAACACGCATGAGGATGAAGCTTGTTGTCCCCCTTCGGAGGGGGACTTTTGGCGACGACCGCCACCTCCTTGCCCTGTTTGTGATCATGAGATCAAGGGGGTGTGGGGAAAATTGTGAAAATGGCTTACCTCGAAACGCGTGCGAATCTGTGCAGTGTGCAAACTCTGGTTCTCCCAACGGTAAAAGGAACCAAAATGGCGGCGCCTATATTTTATGCTACGGTCTCGGTTAGTTAACGCGAAATCTTGTTGTCTCGTCATTCGCATGCAAATCGTGGTCGGTCCTTGGCTGTATAAAGCAGGCTCGTTTTGCTGTTTCGGATCAGAGAGCTTTTGGCTCGTGAGAAGGTTGGGCGTGCGACACCGGGGGTTTTTGAAATTTGACTGAGGTTGCTTGTATACACTTAGAACTAAAGCTCTTGGAAAGGCATGAATCCACTTCTTTCTGTACTTTGTCACATCACTAGATATCTTGACAAAAAATGTGTCTTGCTATGCTGTGGTGGTTGATAAACAAGCATAGATGACTCAGCACTTAGGGCAAGTTACTTTCCTCTAAGTAATTCGCTTGCCCAGGCAGTGGCATCAAAATCTGTCTTCTCTCTCTCATCAAATTTCACAAAGAATGTTTATCATATATTATCAAACAATTTGATTTCTTCCTCACCCCAAACTTGTGATATTAAAATCCCCTTTGGAGAATAAAACCATAACCTCAACATGCCAGGTGTAACTGTTGTGGTTTCTATAACAAGTATGTTTTTATAGGGTGGAGTTGCCAGCACCACATCCAACTGGTCTGTTCTTCTAGCCAAATATATAGAACCCAATCTACCTTGTTATTTAACCCATAGCTGGGGGGAAAAGATGGATTCATACTTTTCTTAATGGTCTTTGTGCCAAAATAAATGAAATGAACTTGAGTGGAATTTAAACTCTGCATGCTAGTTTTACTTTCCATAACAATAACTGCTATAATACATGCACATCTTTGAAAATATTTTGATGATTTTGTTAATTCAGACAATTATCAGGGGTGGAATCAGGATTTTGAGCAAGGTGGGATCTAAAATGGAAAAATTTCACTTGCATTTGTCATAGTTTTTTTTACCACTAAATTTGACAATGAAATAAATTTTAAAATATTTGCCATAGAACCAATAAATAAAAAACATTATGAAGAATAAGACAGAATACATTTATATGAGGTGAAAAACAAAATATCAAATATTTGTTTTTAAATTTTGTTTGATTACTTAAGATTATTATTTTTTATAATATTATATGTTTTATGTTGCTACTTAAAGAAATTTTGAGAGGGTGGATGGGAAAGATCTATACTTCCTGGGCCTTCACTCCTGGATCAGCTCCTGACGAATGAACTCTATGCCTCAGTTAGCATACAGAGCATCAGTAAAAATGTTATTTTATGAAGGAAGGGGGCTATTTTACCAATCTCGATTAAATAGACCCCCCAGGCTATTTTTCTGGTAAATATTTTTATTATTATGAAGGCAGGTAATGTTAAAAATAACAACACACAGATTTAATACAAAAGTTTATTTATTTTCACCATCAATTGTTATGACAATTTAAAATCTTTTCCACTGTCAATTGTTAAAACACAAGTTAAAATCATTTATTTATCTTCAGTTATTAAAAGAAATATAGAAGTCTCTGAATATTTTAAGCACTTCAGAAAAGAGAGAGAGAGAATAGAACATTGCATTAATTGGTGCAGTGACCAAGACCACCCAGCATGGGGGGGTATGCAACATGAAAACAAGATATTTTTTCCATAAAAGGAGAAAATGTTTGCTTTTTAAAGAATTTATTTCGTTTTTGCTAATAAAAAAGGATAAGTATTTTCATGGTCTATCTTTATAACAATTCATTTACTAGTGTACTAATAAACTGTAATATTATTTGTAGTCACTCAGTAAAAATATTTGCCAGGGTCAGTACAGACATTAACTTATCAACTTAGTTGTCTGGCCTATATACCACTATTTCTCAATTGGTGCACCCAGGCACACTAATGCACCCTGAAAGGTAGCCAGCTGCATCTTAAGTTAACAGAAGAGGAAGTTATGAATTATTTTTATATTTAAAAAATCTTAAACCATGTGCTTTGTGTCTCTAGCAACACCAAACACATAAGTCAAGCCTTTGTTATTTGATATTTTAAATTGGATGCTAAATTCCTTAATCTCTAAGGAGTGGATAAACCTTTCCCATTTGCATTCCTGAAGGGATTTAAATCAGTAATTATCATCCTCTCTAAAAAAGAAAATAGATTCTTCATAAATCCCTTTTTAAATAAAAAGTGTACCCATTAAATATACAATGTAATTCTCTTAAAAATCAGTCAGTCATGTGCCTTGTGTGATACACACTTAGGCGATCATGTATCTTTCGCTACATGACTGACAAGGCAGATTTTTTCCCACACTAGGCTGCCATTTCTTTCTGTGGTAGACCAGTTGCCATCCAAGGCTATAGAATCTGCTCTGTCCTACTATTTACCCATAGCTGGGGGGAGAAGAAGAGGATTCATACCTTTCCCAAGAGTATTAGCATGTAAGTGAATGTAATGGATTCAACTGGAATTTGAACACGGCTCTCCGGTTCCTCAATCCAAGCCGCTATCCATTACTCCATTGTAAATACTTATTTCAGGAAGCTTTATTATTTTTCTGTTTCCAGATTTCATGACTAACTTTTCCTTATTAGAATTTAAAGTGCACCCTGGGTTTTATAAGTTATTCTTCAAGTGTGCCCTGAAGTAAAAAAAATGTTGAGAAATACTTCATCTGATTTTTGACACGTCTCTTTTTTAATCCTACTGCATGTCTAGCCACCATTCTCATCAGAAAAGCCTGGTGGAGGAACCAGTTTAGTCACTGATGACCTGACCATGTAGCAGGTAGTGTCAGGTTAAATGGTACTAGCAGTAATTGTAGAGTAACCTTACATAAATAATCTGTCCTGAGTAAGATGATAAACTACATCCTGTAGCAAGTCCTCTACTTGGTAGGATTGAGGAGTGTTGAACCACCTCTTAATTGCTGTTGTTCCTAGTTAGGGTCCTAGGTATGGGCAAATAGTTAACCCCCAAACTGGAGTGAAAACACTAAGAAAGTATAAACAATTTTATTGTAAAATTACTGGCAATACATTTTGATTGTAAAAAAATATTATCAACAATACATTTTTTGTCAAAGAAATTATTGATGCTCCCAAGAAAATTAAATTTTGGCATTAAATGACCCATAAGAAATTGATATGCCACTAAATAAACAAATGTAAACAAGAATCTACAAATTAAAAAAAAAAAAATTTAAAAGTACAAAAAAAATAATTCTGTATGTAAAAATAGTGATTAAAACATGAAACATGAAATAAAATAATAATAATTTTGTCTCAGAATTTAAGACAGCACTAACATTTAGAAATGTAGGCTGTTGATAGTTTTTTTTGACATCACAATTTGTTTCATTGATACTTATTTGTATTTATATATAGTCAGATTAAGGTCCTCATCTGTATTGGCACCATCATGACATTTCAGCCATTATTGGCACTATTTAGACATTTCAGCCATTATTGGCACTATTTAGACATTTCAGCCATTATTGGCACTATTTAGACATTTCAGCCATTATTGGCACTATTTAGACCTACTTTGAATGCCTCTTGATCTGGTTAACTTTCAGGGAATTTTGAATTGAACCCTTTAATCAATTTACAGGATAGACTGTTCTCATTCTGCTGTCCATATCTAGGGATATCTTATTTTCATTTTTATTTTTTTTTAGTACTGCTCAATTATTGCTAATCATATTTCCACTGAATCTGAGTTTGTACTATCTAGTCCAGGGATTGAACTCATAATTACTGTCATCAAATTCACACAACAATGCTTTAATCCTCAAATTGTTCCATGGTTACCTGAAGAAGGCGAGAGAACACAATGGCTGAAATGTTGTTATAAGAATAGCAACAAAGATGAGGACATTAGTCTGACTGTAAATAATGAAAGATCCTCATCCTTGAAATTCAGACATGAATTATTTATATTTATATAGAATATATCTAAACAAATGCCTAGATTAGCTATTAGTAAATCTTGTTGCTACATCAGCCAGTTATATATAGTTTCTTTTTATTGAATGAGCTATTCCACTTGGACTGCCATATCTGGGGGAAATAACTTGAATTTTTGTTGAATCACACAAGGAAATTTATATTAGATTATTAGAATCTCATATAAATTTTGTGATTTACTGACAAAAATTCAATTTTTTCAAAGATTAATTCAATATACAATTATTGTTTTATTATTTTTATTGTGATAAGCAGTTTTATTCAGTTAATGGGTTTATTTTTACATATATGATTGCTGTTGTATGATTAAAATAGCCATTTGCTTGGAGGATATTGTTTTTTTTTATAAATTATCAACATTTTGCAGGTTTTTTAAAGCTATAAAATATTTTTAGATTGCAAGAATATTTTTGAAGATAATGATTTACTGATACAAGTCCTACTAAACCTATAGCTAGGGGGAGAAGAGGTGGATTCATACCTTTTACAAGGGTATTTGCATGTAAGTGAATATAACAAAACCAACTGGAATTAGAACTTGGCTCTCTGATTTCCAATTCTGAGACATTATTCATTACACCACCTGCACATCCAAGCTTATAGCACCTGGTATTCCCAAGTGGTCATCCGTCTAGGTACTGACCAAGCTCAACATTGCTTAACTTCAGTGATTGTATGATAACTGGTGTTTCAATGTGATAAGGCTGTAAGTCTTGCCTGGAGAAGAAAGCAGATCATTTTAAAAGCTTTATTCTATTGCATGATAAACAGAATATGTTGATTTTTGGTTTATTTTATTTTTAATTTATAAACGTTTTGAATAAATACTGTATCAACTGAAGAAATGATTAATTTTTGACTAGTTTCCTTTTATTATCGTATAAAAGTTTTCTTATCAATGTTGATGAAAGAAAAATGGTCAAAAATTAATAATTGCAATGCTTTCTCAAAGAAATCAAGACAAGTTATGTTTTGAAAATGAGTTTTGATTCTAGGAAGTAAATTGATATTTAAAAAAAAAATGTATAAACAAGAAATATTTTTGTTTGGCAGGAAGCGGAAGGTAACAGGAAAAGCTTAATAGGCAAATATATATTAAGTGGACAACAAGTGTATGTATCACAGTGTGCTGAAAAGATTTGGCCTGACAATGAACCTTTCTTTCAAAAAATGTATTTTGTCAATTGGTCAAATTACATGAAATTGCTTGAACTGGAAACTTATCAGCACACCTGTGTGTGTGTGTCTGTGTGTGTCTCTCTCTCTCATTTTTTATATATATATATATATATATATATATATATATATATATAATTAAAAGTAAAAGTTTGTCACTTAGTTGATTGATGTTACCTTCAGCATTCCAACTCAGCAATTGGCTGCTTATTTCTTAATTTTTGTCTTTTATACACTTATCATTAATATAATTTTTTTTCTGTATTGTGTGTGTGTTTGCACATGTGTGGCCATTCACCAATCTGTGCAGATGTGTAGGCTGTTGTGATTATTTGTCCTTTTGTTCATTTTTTTTTCCACTTTCCTCTTTATATATATATATATATATATATATATATATATATATATATATATATAATCTGAGGGCGATAGTGAATGGCTTGACAATTACATCTTAACATGAAACTGAATTGCTGATTACAGTTATATGATTTTTTACCCGATTATAGCATTGCTCTACTAAAATGAGTGATCTTTCCCTAAAGACTACCTAAATTCACTCCATATTGAATGTATTCGATACACATACACACACACACACACACACACACATATATATAATTACAGAGCTTAACTTAGGCACAGGGTGACATTAGTCGGTTACTTAGTGAAGATTAAGATGTGTGTGTGTGTGTGTATATATATATATATATATATACACACACATAATGTAAATAAAGTAACAACTGCATTTGAAATCAAGACTAGAAGAAAAGCAAAATGCAATAACTGTTGTTTTCAAACAGTTTGTCAGCAGGAATGTACATGGGCATGTTAAAAATTTTGGGGGTATAAAATTACCAAACCAATGATTTGTTAGAGTAGGTCCAGTGATTAGGTCAGCAAAATCCCCTGACGTCATATGAAGATATTTTTTTGTTTGATGGTCATATTATGAATGCAATTGAGAACGCAATTTGAAACAGAAAATCAAAACACTTTAACATTTAAAGAATTTTACTGAGGAAGTGGTAGTTTTTGTTGCACAAATATGATCTGAAGAATTGTCAATGGCAGCTCTCTGAGAAATATTAATATTTAATTATTATTTGATTTGTCAAAAACTTTTCTCTTTTATATCTTCTATTTTTCTTTTATTTTGGGTTGCAAAAATGGTCATTACTTTATTTGCAACATATATATATATCGTGGCTGTCCTCTCGGTTTCGAGCGTGACCACCTCCTTTATTTCATGTCCCACTCCGCTCAAATTCTGTGTATTCGCAAGTGACTCTTCAGGCCAGCCAAACTGCGACAAATTTTGCCACAGAATTGGCATACCGAATCAGTTTTGTTTACAGTGACATTATTCGGGTGCACATAAGGTTTTGCACATTTACGCAAATGGCTTTTGAAGCTGGCAAAAGATAGGCACAATTTTCCGCATATGTCACAATTAACATGGTGAATTTGTGGACCCGGTGCCGGACCCTGTTCCCCTTTACGAATCAGACGTTTGTAGGCACTGTACTGCATACAGCTATTCTCAAAGGACTCAATGCTTTCGTGAATTAGTTTCCGCCACTTACTTCTATCCAAAGCCATTTTTTCCTATTGGTCTACAGATAGTCCAGATTGTTTCAGATAAAATTTTATTGTGTCCTTAAATCTCTTCTTCGGCTTTGATGCATTTCTCTTTCCTTCCCACATTTCACCATAGAACAGCCATTTTGGTAGACGACCGTCATCCATACGCGCAATGTGACCGACCCATCAGAGACAATTTTTCATTACCATCGACTGAATGCTTGGTAGCCCTGCTTTCTCTAATACTTCTGTATCTGAGACATGGACTGCCATGTGATATGAAGTATCTGTCTCAGACACCGTTGATGGAAGACCTCAAGATATATCTATATATACAGATATATAGTTTTAAAGTGTGCTATATTTATGGGATAAAGTGCTCAATATCAGAGATAGAGCTAATGTAAATATAAAAGTGAACATTGAAGTAGACACTCAGAGGTAACAGGTTGTTTCATGCTAGATGCAATCGTCAGGCTGCCTGACAATTGCGTCTAGCATGAAACAGCCTGTTGCCTCTGAGTGTCAACTTCAATGTTCACTTATATAACACACATAGTATGTAATGGATAAATTGTTGTCTAAATTACACAAAAATGAAGATATCACTGACATCTCATTTTAACGGATATATTTACCAAAATTACATAAAATATCTTGTAATACTAAAGAGTAAATTTATTCAATAAAATTGCCATTGGCTTCTGTAAAATATTGGTTAGCTTGCAAGTGGTCTGACACCATGTTAGCAGGTAAGTCACTTGACTTCTACAACTTCAACCGCCAGATGACTTTGAAATCTCCTGCAACACTTCTGAATGGCCTCCTTGTTTAAGTTGGTGAATGCTGCCATAATCCTTGCCTTCAGTTCATCTTTGGTGTTACAAGGAATTTTGTTGATCTCTTACTTAACTGTACCTCACACATAATAATCAAGGGTGTTACGGTCTGGAGAGTTAGGTGGCCAGATGTAAGGGGTGATGTGGTTGCAGAAATTAGGTTCTCCTGCTTGTATGGCATGGTGTGGAGTCCTGTTACCAGACATAGGGTCTTCCAACAGCCACCCTCTTTACACAGGGTGGCACTACTGGATGTAGGTCTCCATGTTGAGTATTAGGCCCTGTGGGAAGATGAATTGAGGCATAATATCTCCATCACTACTGATCACTTCAAACACCTTAATAATCACCATTAGACTCATCCATCTTTTTCCGAATCCACTGCACTGTCCTCAGATTGACACTCTGAAATGTTCATATTGGAGCTGCTGGCACAAATGCCAAGCAGTACAGCATGACATTTCCAAATTTCTGGTGCAGTGAATTGTGTGATAGTGCTCTTTTTCTTACACATGGTGCCAAACTGACCCTGCTATTCTGTGCAGTTGACAAAATCAAAAATGAACAACACACATGTGCAAAATGAAAAATATAAAGTGGTGACAATTTACCAATTGCACCCTGTGTATATATAAGTCTTGTATCTGGTTATTAGAATTCGTTTAGCAATTTATTAATCTTTTTTTTTCTTCACGTATTGAATGACTTCATAAAGTGGGTACAAAATGAAGGATGTTGTAATGAAAATAAAGATGTAGTTAATTATCTGAATAAAGTAATATGTGGACAATATTTTCTATATTTTGATAGGAATTTTTAAAATAATTTCCTTCATAATGATTATATGAGGTTTGACTTAAAAAATTGCGGGGATCTGAACTAAATATCATGCAAACTTTTAACACTAGCCTTTTTGGGATTCCTGTTTACCCAAGGGCACTACTTTAAAGGTGATGTTGGACACTAGGTGTTAGGGAATTAAAGTTTTTTTGCCAAATTTACCAAATATTAGTAGCACCAAAATCAAAATACAAAAAAAGCTACATTTTATTTAGAAGTGCCATTAATCTATAGTATGCTATCAGTACTTATTTACGGAAGCAATTATGATTTACATGAAGTGTTTATGAAAAGCTTTTTTAATTAAAGCAAACTATTGAAAGTCCATTTGTCTGTAGAAAATGTTAATGTTAATTTCATATTGTACCATGAAAGTATTAGGTCTACTTGTACTAATTTTGTTTAGTCAACAATAAAGGTAATACCATACTATTTAGCAGAGTTTCTACATCTGTTGCAAATGTGTGATGGAATAGACCTCAGGCCTACACTGCTAAGATTAAGCATAGCATACTTATGACTGACCTTTTCTTAATAATCATTTCTCCCTAAGCAAGGTGATAAAACTACTAAGATTCAAAAGGTTACTAAGTGGAAAGAATCTTAGAAAAAACATTATTAAAGAGCTAGAACAATAAAAGAACAAGAATTAAGGAGACATAAGATGATGATTGACCTTGCATTTAAATTTTTGAAGATCATAGTTGATTGGAAAGCAAAAAATTAGAAGAGTTCCACAGGTGAGAAGTGCAACAGAAGAAACTGTTAGCATAGAACTTATGGTTACATCTAGTAATTTCAACTGTAAAATGATGAGACCTAGCTGCCAATCTAGTACTGTGTTTAAATTTATAAGGTACCAAAGTGGAAAGTCCATCAGAACAATTACTATTAAAATATTTATAGAAAAGGCACATTCTGAATAAAACTATATTATTGACTAATTTACATGTAAGTTTTCAATATGCGTACATCCTGTGACATGGCACATGTCAAGTTGGTAGTCCAGCTCCTGCCAAACACGTCACTACATGTCGTGGGTAACAGTCTCCAGGGCTGCAATGATTCACTGTTTATGTTCCTCTAAGCTTGTAGGAAAAGTGGGGACAGAGACTGGTCTTTTCCTTTAGCTCCTGAGAAAAAAATTGAAATTCTTCTGAAGTTTCTCTTGCATATCAACACAGTGCTTGCACTTTTGCTTGCCATGTCCAAAATTGGATTGCAGTTTGTGCATTTTTAGTGAATTTTCTCACAAATGCATCCT